AATTATAATATATACATTAATTTATGTGTGTGTGTATATATATATTGCACAAATTATATTCCTACATCTGCCTACATTTTGGTTGGATATTTATATATTTTAGGACCTAAAAAAATATTAATAAGTAGACTCACATATCCTTAAGTGGAGCCACTGGTATTATGTTTATTATAAGACATGTGATTTGATTTACACAATGGCTTTTAGTTTTATATCCTTCATTTAAAGAACACATACACAAAAACTATCTCCAAAATTACAAGGAAAACATTTTATTTATTTTTTATAAATAAATTAATTCAGTCAAGCATTTCTTGTAACTTTTTTACAAAATTATTTACAATCCTACATTAAATCCAAGGACCTGTAGGCAGACACAAGTTCAGCCGTCTGAAATCTCTCAAAGTGGAGTGCATTTGTGATCTTTGTAATTTCTCTGATAGGCAAAACTTTTCCAACACTTAGTGCATGTGTGGGGCTTTTTACCAGTGTGAATGTGCATGTGTGCCTTCAAATTGTTTGGCTGTGTGAAACTCTTCAAACAAATGTCACAGGTAAACGGCTTTTCCCCGGTGTGCACGAGCCTGTGCCTTTTCAAATTGGCCGATAAATGAAACGCCTTCCCACACGTTTCACACTTGTGCGGTTTTTCACCAGTATGAGTGCGTATATGCATCTTCAAAGAGCTCGACAGCTTGAATCTTTTCCCACACAATACACATTTGTGAGGTCTTTCTCCTGAATGCAGAAACAAATGGGTTTTATACGTAGCCCTCAGAGAAAAGTCCTTACCACAGATCTCGCACTTGAAAGGTTTCTCTCCCGTGTGAAGCTGCTCGTGCATCTGGAGGGAATGTACGCTGCTGTACCTTCGGTCACATAACGTGCACGTGTAAGGTTTGCTGTTGTCCGAATGCAGTTGCAAGTGAGCTTTTAATGCGTAGGCAGAGCTCAGGAACTTCCCACACACATCGCAGCGCTGAGTGTTACTTTTATCACTTGCATTTCCAATCTGATTGTGTGTAAGAATGTGGTTCCTCAGGATGTAATTATACTGGAACGTTTTCCCGCACATTTCACACATAAACCGCTTTTCTCCGTGAACTCGCATGTGGCCTTTTAGAGTGCTTCTCTGGTTGAATCTTCTTCCGCACACCTCGCAGACGTACGGCTTATCGCCGGTGTGAATGAGGATGTGGCGTTTTAGAGTCCCGGAAAGCGCAAAGCTTTTCCCACAGATGTCACATGTATGTGGCCTCTCGCCCGTGTGCACACGGAGGTGGTGTTTCAAAAGTTTATGGTATCTGAAGCTCTTATTGCAGTGGCTGCATTTTATCGGCCTGTCGTTTGAATGAATTCTCTTGTGGTAGTTCAACGTGCCAATCAAGGGGAAACACTTTCCACAGGTGTCGCATCTGTATGGTTTTTCGCCCGTGTGCACCCTCTGGTGCATGTATAAACTTCTTTTGATTGTGAATCCTTGTCCGCATATTTCACAGGTAAATGGTTTGACTTCCGCATGGACCAGTTTGTGCGCTGCGAGATCTCTGAAGCTCTTTCCGCAAGTAGCGCAGGGAAATTTCTTCTTTTCAAGCTTCTGCGTGTGTTTGCGTAGGTGAGTCTCTAGCGCTCTCTGCAGTGTGAATTTCTTTCCACACTTTTCACAACTGTGCGGCCTCACGATTGAATGCACACGTTTGTGCTGCACGAGAGAAAACATCTTTGGAAAGGCCTTTCCACACTGCTCACATTCAAAAGACTCTTTTGATTGTGCAACTTCAGGTTGATTGGTTGACGTCTGTAACACTCCTTCCTGATCTTCAGACCAGCCCCCGTCATCAGCTACGGGTGAAATAAAAACAACATCAGGGTCAATCAACATCAATCATAGTCGTTTCATATATTCACAGTTTAGCAAAATTCATGCTGCTGAATGAGAGTAAATAATTAGCCTGAGATGGTTTATTTTTCAATAACTGACACTGATAAAGTAGTACACAATTTAAGCAAAAATGTGCATTAAGTCAATCAATAAGGTCAATTTTGATTTCAGGTTGGCTTTCAGAAATTAATACAGCTCTTTCTAATATATACTAAAAGTTGTACAATACATTTTTATCTAAGAAAATTTGAATGATTTTTTTTATTTAAAAGAGCTGTTAAAATTATTAAAAAGCTATTTTAAAATGTGATATATATCAGCAATATTTTAATATTATTTCTATGCATTAATTCATATACATTTATTAATATATTATTAAACGCCATTATTTTTATATTTTCAGTTTTCATTTGAATTTTTTAGCAATTTTATTATGTGCTTTTGTTATTAATAATAGTTTTTGTTTTTTAGTTTTTTATTTAGTTTTAATTGATTATATTTCAGTTTTTGTACATTTTAGTGCTTCAACTTCAACTT